AGGATACAGCTTGTATGAAAGATCTACCACAAGAGAAGTCAGTCGTGTGGTGCCTGGGCACTGGTACTTGCCAAACATGGGCTTTCAGAGACTCTTTTTGGGTTATTCTATATGAGGATGAGTCATGCCTCAAAACTGTAGTGATTTTGAATGGCAATTGTCCTCTACTGAAAAATCCTGCTTACGAGTTGGCTCCTAGGCTCTAGTTTAGCAAAGGGCAAACATCCCATTAATGTGTGGGCATCTCGTGTCTGCTTTCATAGGCAGGCAGCACAACGTCCCTTCAGCCCAGAGGCCAGAACTCAGAGGTTCCACAGATTCCCTGTAAGGGTAGAAAGGGGAAGAAGATTCCTTCTAGCAAGTAGTATGGGAAGTGTGAGCCACGGATTTCCCCTACTACAACTCTAAATCAATTCTCTACTCTGGAAGGGGCTAAGGGAATTAGAAGGAACCTGGCATCACCAAAATTACCTATATTTGGGCTTAGGATACAGTGGCTATGGGCTTAAGAGGCTAAACTCAGCCAGTGTTCATTCATAGAGACCGTTAGCTGCAAACCCTCTTTGCATGGCATTTTGTCAACATGATGTGACAAGAGCAAAGCCATCAAATGGCAGAGTTACTAGATGTGAGAAGAAGAAATAAAACAGGAGGCCAGGCTCTGGTTGCAGAAGACTATAAAAAAGGTTAACTTTAAAGTACAGTTAGGAAGCAGTCACGTAATGCCTCTCAGTAAAACGCTCTGGTCCATGTCTATATTCCCACAGATGGTCCTCCAGGTCACTAGAAGGCAGCAGTGTGGAACATGTGAAGGGTCCAGGGTTCCTGAAAGAACATTTCCTAAAATATCCGTGGCATAAAAGTCACTGTGTGAACATCCGTGGAACCTTCGCCTTCCTGTCTGCTGTAAGAGCATTATTTTGCAGAGTTATGTGCAGTTAGGAACATGTAGCATTTGATAATTCAATAATCTCCATGAAAGTGAACAAAAGTGCCAATCCTGAGAAAGAGGTAGGGTCTGGGTTACACCACCTAGTTCCCAATATTCCTTTAATGATTGGCATTACAGTAACATTAAACAGATGTAGAGTTGTTGTTGTTATTTTTTAATGTGGGCTGGTCTCCTAACTTTTCATTTGATAGGAAAAGTCTAATTTACTGCTGAGAAAACCTGTTTTCAGAGGAAAACTATTGTGTGAGTTCTATTAGCCGTTTCCTTGCACTACGGCCGTAATGAAGATGGGATCATCAGCTCTGCCTATCCTGAGTGATAGATACATTTAAAACCCCAAAGTGCCTTTGTCACATGGGTTGTCAGAACTCGACTGTACCAGAGTTAAGTGCTCTCTATGTTAGAAGGTTTGGAAACCCACAGCATCTTCATCCCTGCCCACCTCTCATCTCATCCCCAGTTGGAAACAGATCTAAACCCAAGTCTACAAGCCAGAATCAGGAAGCATGCCAATTCTAAAGTAAGAAAGATGAAGTTTATGTTCTCCTCAAACCAGTGGGTTCCTGAACTTAAGTGTGCAAGAAGAATCACCTGATAATTTGTTTAACCCTTTTAACACAGAGATTCCATACCCGAAGGTCCCTGGACACTGTTGAAGCCAGTGGTTCTCAACCCTGCTTGCATACTAGAGTCAGCGCTTAACCAGAAGGATGTTCAGACCAACTTCATTAGACTATAGACTATCTGAGGGCAGGGAACTATGCTTTTGTAGTTGTAAAAGGCTCTATAGGTAATTTAAATAAGAAAACAAGGTTGTAAATTGCTGGTTTTCTCTAAGAAGCCTCAGGAATAGATGCAACTGAGCATTCTTTGCAAGTCTTTATTGGATGAGACAGTTGTCATTTGGCTTCGCATGTTCCTCTTCAGATAGTCTACCACCAATCAGCGTGTCAGAAATACCTGGCTTCCAACATGGAAGATTTGTGAACCTCTGAATTCATATGCAGAATTGGTCTGGATAAGCATATGGCTGTTTTTCTAGGGAGAGAGTTCTCAGCTTTCACTGGATTTACTTCTTTTTTTACCCAACTCCCTTGTTTGTTAGCTTGTTTCATTCATTTCTTTTCATCTCACACTCTGTTCCTTATTCCTCACATAGATAGACACTCCTTTGTGTTAGCGCATATCCTCTTGTTTGAATATATTTCTAAAAATGTGGTTATTTGGTGTGTAGATGATACTAGTTTGTATAAATCCTGTGTTCTTATTCAGTGCTATGCTGTTAAGATCCATCCTTGTTGGTACCTATATGTGTCTAATCCATTAACCCACTTGCTGCCTCCTGCTCCATGGGTTGGTGGGTGGTCTGCCTATTATTATACCGATCTACTTCTCCAGTGATGAAAACTCAGAATGTTTCCATCTCTTCTAGGCCACCAATAGTCCTGCTGTGAACATTCCCACATGTGCCCCCTGATGAACCTGTGTGAACATTTCAGAATTGGAATAGCTGGGTAACAAGGGGTGTATATGTTTTATGACTAAGAAAGGTTGTTGTTGTTGTTAAGTGCCGTTGAGTTGGTTCCAACTCATAGCGACCCTGTATAGCGTTTCCAAGGAGCAGCTAGTGGATTTGAACTGCCGACCTTTTGGTTCACAGTCCAGTGCTGATCCTACAGCGCCACACCAACAGTCCAAGAAAGGTTAGGGTGCTATCCAAAGAGGCAGTTCTGGCTACATGCCCATGACCTTCATTGGATTCTAAAGTGGTCTAGGGTCTTTAATCTACAAGCCATTTGCTAATAGTCAGAAGTGGGCTCTCACGTCGCTTGTCTCTTTTTCGGTTTCCTTTCTTGTCGCTGTGGTAACCTTCATCACCATCTTCTTCAAGTCTCTTATTCTACCTCAGCTTCTTTCTTCACCGAAAAAAATAGAAGTCACCTTTAATTTTCTCCCTCTGCTTCTAAACTTAGCAACACCAGATCTACCTTGATTCTGTTTACTATTCATGCTTCTTTCCAGGGCCAACCTTCTGAGCTTTCGACTTCACACCTACTTGTCTCCTTGATACTTTGCTGTGCCAACCTTTGCCCTTGTGTCTTTGTCTTTCCATGGTCACTGGCCTGCTACTGAGACTCACCATCCTGACCAATTCTCTCCCATGTGGAAGGAATAGCCCTTCTCCACAAGTTAATCTCTCTCTTTTTTTTAATTTCGTGAGTCACAGTTTTATGAATGTGTTGTCTGCTTTTTTTCTACACTTCCACAATTCCTTCTCACTTCTTTCATTCCTGTCACTCTGTCCAATAAGATACTTCTAGTTGCATGGCATTGTGGGTTAACGCGCTAGACTGCGAAGTCAGTTTGAACTGTAGGGTTGGTGGTTCAAGCTCACCAGTTGCTCCTCGGAAACCCTATACAGGGTTGCTATGGGTCTGAACCAACTTGACAGCCCTTGACAACAAATAGGTAGTAAAGTTCAAACCTACCAGCTGCTTCTGGGAAACCGTATACAGGGTCGCTAGGGGTCAGAACTGACTCGACAACACTTAACAACAAACAGCAAGTTGTGGTTCAAATCCACCAGCTGCTCCTTGAAAACTCTATATGGGTTGCTATGAGTCAGAACCAAGTCAACTGCACTTAACAACAACAACAACAAGTTGCCAAATCGAAGTACTCTTTCCAGCTCCCATCCTGCTGACCTCTTTTTAGCACCTCAGAGAATACACTTCTTGGAGCTGTGTCTTGTCTTGGCTTTCAGGACCTTATTTTTCTTGCTTCTTCCCCTTCTCTCACTGTTCTTTCTAGGTCTCCCTTGGCCCCCTCTTTTTCTACCTTTCCTTTCCAATTTTTCCCCTTTATGGTTTCCCCCTCTAGGTCCCTGCACTTTGGCATGTTTTCCTGAGAGGCTTTGGCTCCCTTGAATTGCCATTTATATTCATAGGGCTCTTGTACCTGGATTTTGGAAAACTAACTGTGTAAGCAAGGTCCAGAGTCACATGTGATATACAATGGGGCTTCAGAAAGTTCATGGAAAAATGGAATGAAAAAAATAATAGTTTCCACATGAACTTTTTGAAGCCCTCACGGATGAGAGTTCATCTTCTAGAACTCTCCTTTCTGAATTCTAGAGCCATATGTCTGCCACTCTTTCTGTTTGCTACTTGAACATATACATCTAATACATGGGTCGCTGTTGTTGTTAAGTGCCATTGACTCACAGGGACCCTGTGTAGGGTTTCCAAGGAGTGATTGGTGGGTTTGTACCACCAACCTTGCAGTTTGTTTAGTGCTTATCTTATAGTGCCACACCAGGACTCCAATACATGGGTTGTTGTTGTTAAGTGCTGTCGAGTTGGTTCTGACTCATAGAGCAGCTGGTGGGTTTGAACCACTGACCTTGCAGTTCAAGTCAACTTTGTGGCCCAGTGTTTTATCCTATAGCATCACACTAGGACAAGTTTAGCTGAGACCAATGATATATTTGTAATTTTTTTCTAAGGGAGTTCAGAACACAGTCTTGCATGAGAACATGCCTGTGGACAATCCTGCCTGCTCTGATTTGGGCCTGGAGAACTCTCCAAAGGTCTCTGGACCATAGGATGCGCATATCCTTCCTATGACCAAGACATACAGGACTGGTCTCCAGATTGGCTGGAGGGTCAGGGGTTCTAGCAATAGAATTTGGTCAACAGACTTTTCACCCCCTTTGGAGTCATAAGACATAAGACATGAACAGAGTCACAGGCTGATGAGAGTTAACAGATGCTGTGAGAATTATATACAAAAGTAATGCTGCCTGTGATGAATCATGGCCTAAAACATTGATGAACTCAATAGTACAGTAGTACTGGGATTGCAAGGCTTACACATGGGCAAGAGTCTCATATCAGGCTGGACATCATTAAATGTGAAACGGAATGAATGTCTTGCTTTTCTTTGAAGAGTTAGATTGGGTAGATTAGGAAGGACAGAGTAGCACATGTCCTCGGGGCTGGCCCTGCTAAGTCCTGGGAGGACCTGCTGCTCTCGGAACCAGCCTTACCTCAGTTTCAGAATCTGTTTGTTGTCTTCGATGGTAATGCTGTCAGCATGGTCCCTCTTGAAGATTTCAAAAGCCTCCTGGCGTCCTAATGACATTTCCTCTCTCATCCCTGTTTGGAGACATAGTGAAATGGCCTCAGTCACAGCATCAGGATCTCATTACTTTCATTGTCACTTCAGTCAGACCACAGAGCCAGCCCTGGCTCCAAGAGGCCCACAGTGGAGACGCTTCTGACCAGACAGGTGGCCCCAGGCTCTTCCAGCTGGCTGCTGACCCACCCGGAGGAGGCCCTTCCAGCACACTGGCTGGGCCCTGCAGGGCTGTGCCTGCACATCCATCCACATGACTGGGGTGGGTGGGTGCAGTGGGGTGGGAGGGCGGGGGAGGCACTCTGGAATGTCTGGTTGGAGGAAATGAAAACCAGCCCTCCAGGCCCTGAGGTACTAAGGACACCTTCAGGTGCACTTTCTGCTATCTGCAACTGCCACATTTCTCCCAGTTTGACTTTCACACCCCACCTTGGTTTTCTATTTGATGTCACCACCCTACATTACCAGACTTTTACTTAAAGTAAAAAATCTAAACTGGAAGATCTAGAATCTTAAACACTCCATTCTTAGTGTCCATATAACAATTTACCGTGGTTTCCATGTAGCTGATAAGGGGCCTCTGTTCTTACTCAGGAGTTAGGTTCTCAGTCTCAAGACCATGAACAGATCATGGAAGAGGTCCTTAGTTGATGCCTGATTCCAGCACCCTCTGACACCATTGCCACCATAGGCCCATCTTTGCTGCTGGAACCTTTTCAGGAATCAAACCCAGAGTCTGGGATGCTGTTAACCGGCCCTCCGGCCAGGACCTTCTGAGGAATCAGGTGGCATTCCTGCAGCAGACCATCTTCCTCATACCTCTCAGGGTGGGGTTCAGTGCAGGTGTGTTCCTGGGACCTTCTCACAGCTGGATCTGAGATAAAATGATGAGTGCATCTTTGATGCCTTCTCTTTGGTGATGGGGAAGAGAGTTTAGCCTGAGAAGTCTTCCTCATGTCTTCATCCAGTTAATTCTATTTACCTTTGAAGCCCTGGCTATAGTGACCACCTCCATGGAGCTTTCCCTAAGGCCCAGGCAGAATGAATCCTTTCTCCACCATGTTTCCTACCAACAAACCTATACTATGCACTCCCTAGAAGATATTGCAGCCTCACATGATATAATGTCTTCTGCTGACACACAAAGTTCTCAGGGTAGTGTCTTGTTCTCTGACTAGCATTTAGAAGGTGCTCAACAAACATCTGTTTCAGGTCAAAAAAGAACTGGGGATGATAATGGGCTTTGCTCTAATTGGAGCATGAGCCAGGTTCCTGAGGTCCCCCGTGAAGTCTGGAGTTCAGAGATATATTTTTATGGTTGCATAGCACATCCTTCTTGTCTGGAAAAAAACAGAGGCCCATCACCCAGCCTCGGGGTGAGAAACTGGACCAGCTCATCTGATACCAATTTAATGATTACTGTTGATAAAAATAGCACAGTGAAGAATGTCTGAATGAGGCACACAGAGACATCCGCCTTTTCCAATCAGAAACAAACGAGCGCTGCTCAGTCCTGTCTCCACATCTGCCCTGCACACACCAGAGTTGAGTGGGCCTGGGAGTGGGTTTTCAGGACAATCAGATGATGACCCAGATTTATAAGAGACATTCAACAAGGGACACTTTTCATCCAGCAGAACCCACCAAGAGCCAAGGGATTAATTCCACACACCCCTGCCCCCGTCTATGCTGGATCCTAACAATGTATGCCTTTTACTTTATAATAAAATAACAACAGAGGGAGGAGGGAAGGAGTCACTCTGTAATAGTGATGGGGAAGAGAGTTCTGCAGAGGAGGAGAGGAGTCCACAGGGGAGGAGAAGAAAAGACTTTCACCAATCAGTAGTGTTAGCCGTGGGTAGTGGGCACAAGAATGCTTAACTGGCTGCACTGAAGGAGAGAGGCATTCATGGGCTTTTCTATCCCAGGTCCTGCTTTCTTTGTGGAGCTGACAATCTGAATGCACTGCTGGTGGAAAGGGCCATGCTGAGGTTTCCTGGAATAGTTGGCAGTAGGTCCTGGAGGAACTTAGAATCAACTGAAAACCCCACCTGGTCTTCCCTGAGGTGTGGGAGCAGAAAGGACATGCACAAAGGAGAGAAGCAGAGGAAAATAATCTGGGATCATTCTGTCCTGAAGGTCATGTTCAGAAATTTGGGGCCAGCGATATAATAAAATATACCCAAACCACCCATTTTCAGTCTACATTATGGACAAGTTACACTGGATGCATTTACATTTTGGTGATTTAGAAGGCACTCAGGGAGACTGCCAGGGCATGAGCTTATCATTAGAAACATGACATCAGTTCTTCTCCTGCTATTAACGGACGAAGGATGCTGGAATTGGAGCTCTTTGACTGTAATGGCCTCAGGTAAAGAAAAAGACACTGGAATTATGACCATGATTCTGACAGCAGGATTCTCAAGTGTCTGCTTAGAGAGGTCAAGGCGAGGTAGCTAGTGAGGCCCAGAGTTTGAAGGCAAAGCGATAAAGCAAGGCCTAGATGCTTACAGAGACCTCGTGGAAGCTGAGGTCAAGACCCATACGAGGGTGAGCCTGAGGGTCCACAGAGGGGACATGTGGAAAGGACTCGCCAGGCAGCTGTAGTGTGTGTGATCCACAAGTCCCTACCTGTCTTGTGCATCCCAACTTTGCTTATTCAGAACCCATGTCCAGTCTTTTTAGACTATCCCGTTGGCCCTAATTTGGGATCTCCCATAAAGTTAATCTCTGTGGGACCTCCATGGGAGTCCTGGCGTGGTGCTGTGGGTTAATGCGCTGGACTGCAAAGTCTGTTTGAACTGCAAGATCGGCAGTTCAAGCTGACCAGTTGTTCCTCGGAAACCCTATATAAGGTAGTTATGAGTCAGAACTGACTCGATGGCACTTAACAACAACAACAAATAGAAAATTCAACATGAACTCAAGTAGGCGGATGAAATCATTATAGAGGTCTGGTGTGGTGCTGTGGGCTAATGTGCTGGACTGCAAAGTCTGTTTGAACTGCAAGGTCAGTAGTTCAAGCTCAGCAGCTACTCTTTGGAAATGTTGTACAGGGTAGCTATGGGGTGGAACCAACTCAACAGCACGTAACAAAAACAACAAATTAAGTTAATGAGCAATCCTCTGTTTATTGAAGAGATATCATCATCTCCTTTCCCATTTGAAGATTTAGAAGCCAGGTTCTTTCTCATATACCAAGCTTGCACTGTGTGTATTAGAAAGAGAAGGAGTCAGTGGAAGAAGAAGAGTGGTTCAAAGCTCACCTTGACAACGAGATCCCCACCCACTTATTTATTTTCTCAGGTATTTATCATAGGTACTATGCTTGACACTTGACAGAGAAAGAAAACTGATCAAGATTAAACCCCTTAATGACTTCAAAGCCTAGTAAGAGGGAAATAACTTTTTGAAGAAGAAGAAGAAGAAAAAAGACTGCTGAAAAATTTTGTTGAAAACAAGAACTGGGGAACAGAGAAGAAAGGAAGAGCAGGAGAAGATGGAGTGGGGGTAGCTCTGTCAGGTAGAGTGGGACAAGGCTCAGAGAGCATGTGAACCTCATCTGAAGGTCTATGAAGGACAGAACAGCAAAGCTCCTGAGCGGAGTGGGAAGAGGCAGAGTGGGCATTCAAAGGACAACTTGATTACTATGGGTGGTTCTGCTAACCAATAGAAATAACCTCCGAATGATTAAAAAAGTGAATTTCTTACCTAGGATATCTATGCACTGTACCAAGAGCTTTCTCACGTATTATTTCAATTATAAGTCTCTACAATTCCTGCTAATAAGTTCGTTTTAGAGGTGAGGACATGGAGGCTCAGCTGAAGAAATAGTTATAAAGGGGAGGAAATTGCCCAGCTCCTCGAAGAAGTAATGCCATGCTCTTAGACCAGTTTTTCCAGAGTAAGTATGCCTAATGAAGTGGGCAGGTTGTTGTTGTTGTTGTTAGGTGTCTTCGAGTCGGTACTGACTCATAGTGACCCTATACACAACAGAATGAAACACTGCCCGATCCTGGGCCAACCTCACTATTGTTGCCATGCTTGAGCCCACTGATGCTGCCACTTTGCCAATCCATCTCATTGGGGGTCTTCCTTTTTTTTCTGACCCTCCACCTTACCAAACATGATATCCTTCTCCAGAGACAGGACAAGTCCTTCCTAACAATATGTCCGAAGTATGAGAGACAGAATTTGGCCATCCTGGACTCCAAGGAGCACTCTGGCTGCACTTCTTCCAACACAGATCTGTTTGTTCTTTTGGCAGCCCATGGCACTTTCAATATTCTCCTCCAATACCATAACTCAAAAGCATCAATTCTTCTACGGTCTTCCTTATTCACTGTCCAGCTTTTGTATGCATATGCGGTTATTGAAAATACCATGGCTTGGGTCAGGTGCACCTTAGTCCTCAAGCTGACACCTTTGCTCTTCAACACCTTAAAAATCTCTTGTGCAGCACATTTGCCTAATGCAATACGTCATTTGATTTATTGACTGCTGCTTCTGTGACTGTTGGTAGTTGATCCAAGAAGAATGAAGTCCTTGACAACTTCAGTCTTTTCTCCATTGATAAGAATGTTGCTTTTTGGTCCAGTGGTGAGGATTTTTGTTTTCTTTATATTGAGATGCAATCCATACAAAAGCTTGTGGTTTTTGATCTTCATCAGTAAGTATTTTAGGTCCTCTTCCCTTTCAGTAAGCAAGGTTGTATCATCTGCATATCCCAGGTTGTTAATGAGTCTTTCTCCAATCTTGATGCCACGTTTTTCTTCATATAACCCAGCTTCTCAGATTATTTGTTCAGCATACAGGTTGAATAAGTATGGTGAAAGAATACAACCCTGTTGCACACCTTTCTTAATTAAAAACCACTCAGTGTTCCCATGTTATGTTTAAACAACTGCCTCTTGGTCCATGTACAGATTCCTCATGAGCACAATTAAGTGTTCAGGAATACCCATACATTACAATGTTGTCCATAGCTTGTCATGATCCACACAATCAAAAGCCTTTG